TTTAGCTAGACGCACAAGCTTCAAGCGGCGACAAGTCACTCAGTCGTAACGACTTGTGGCACTGATCGTTAGTGGCATAAATCTACCGACAAATCGCCTAATTGATTTATTTATTTCTGAGCAAGCTTATTTCTTTAAGCAAAATTGCTTATTATTGACGCGAGTCAAACTTGAAGAAGTCCTACGTTATGTTGCGCTGGTGCACTGAAGTTTGTTGCAAGTTTTTTCAGGTTGCCAATTAGCATTTAACAGCAAATGGAGAAGAAACGCGTTGCTTGCCACAACAGTTTATAAACTGACTTTGTTTATTTACTTTAGGAAAGAAGTTTATTTTTCTTTTAGCACCACTTTTTTGCTTTGAGGCCAACTCAATGCTCTCTCCCTACGTATTAACAGTACTGATCCACAAACAGAAAAAAGAGCTAAATAATACAAACTGAAAAACTAAAGCAAACAAAGCAGGCGGCCACATGATTTTGTAGCCAAAAGAAAATCACATCGAATAAAGCACATCCGCAGCCAGCGTCCTTAGAAGGCGAGTGTTGTAGTGTGCGGCGGCAATCAGCGTGCAGCACAGCATAGTTCCGTCTGTAGCTAGCAGACCATGACAGACCCGTTGCGACCCAACCCTATTTTACTGAGTTAGCTGTTCTTGGCAAGCTTCCTTCACCGAGTTTTTTTCGTTTGTCCTGCATCTTTTAGTTTTTTTATGTAAATCTAATTTGATTTGCTTGTTTATTTTTCAATTGTTTAACCCTCGCCACATACTGCAAAGCATATTTTAGTTTTGTTCACGGAATGGTGGATTAGTTCTTAATGATCTTAAGATTCGTTTAAGACAAGTTTGTCTGTCCATCCTTCGAATCTATGAGTATGACACTGTCCACTTTTCCAGTAATACCTTATTCAAAAAAGGCGTGACCTCAATTTCAGTATCTCTGGCTAACTAAAATATTATGATCTCGAACAACAAGTGAAAAATCTTTAAGGTGGAAAGCAGAGTCACCATTGCCCTACACTTTATTTACGGTCATAATAAATCGCGCTTTCGTTTGGAACATTAATGTATTGGACAATTTTCAAAGGCCTTAGAATATCTTCATATTGTTTACAAATCCTGCCCAATATCCACTCTTAACACCATCTCGAGTTAGAGCTCGCATCTGGAGAACCGCATCGCCAATTAACTTAACAATACCAGGCGACTTGGACAAGAGTTCATCCACTCCAAATATATGCATAGTAATGAAACTATATTATATTTAGGCTACCAGAAAGACTTTTCGTTGAACTGAACTAACTAAATATCCACCTTTTATTAGAAAATTTAGGAAAGCAACAAAAAATTGTATGACTATAAAGCAATTTAATATGACGAATGACCTTTTGAACCATATTGGACGAATTCTACGGAGAATAAGTAGGAAATATTCAACTAACTTCATTAGCTATGTAACTGTCCAGCATTCGAACTTAACAGACGCAACAAATCTGAAGACTACTTCGGAAACTTCGAAGGATATCCGGTGCACACTAAAGTTTATGCTGAACCCAGCTTCAACATTTGTTGGAGGCTTAGCGAGACTATGTAGCGGAGTGGTTAGTAAGTAAAAATTAATTATAAAACAGGAAAAACAACTTTACCTTCGGCTATCTTGATTTTGGTCGTTCTGTTTGTATTACAGTATAGAATAGTTGTCCGATGTGAACAATTTGTTCGAAGATTGTAGCCATGCCATGGATAATAATTTATGGCAATTGTTGTAAATACACATATCTACTCAAATCAAAAAGTTTTCCATACAAGAACTTGATTTTCATCGATCAGTTTATATGGCAGCTATAGTATATCGGTGGTTTCGACAAATGAACAGTCTGTCGGAAAGAAAATGATGTGTGCAAAATTTCAAATTTGTGCCTCAAAAACTGAGGACCTAGTTCACGTAAAACATAGCTAAATCAACTCAGCTCATCATGCTGATCATTTATGTATATATTTTATAGGGTCTCCGACGTTTTCTTCTGGGTGTTACCAACTTCGTGACAAACTTACTCCGTTCGTGACAAACTTACCCTCTTAGAATAAACAACCCATATGATGTTCAGTTCCGTCTGAATTTAATCGTGCCTTATTTATTTGTTTTTCGACTTTTTCATTCGTTTGCTCATCGCACATTTCATTGTGTTGCCAGCAAACACTTGATTTCCATTTGGTTTAGTTTTTGCATGCCCTGTTATTGTTGCTATTGTTGCCACCAACACCACCGTCAATGCTTGAGCTTTACGCGCCGCATTCATCTCAACAACTGTTAGCCAATTGCTCCTCCTTCAGCACCACTATCGCTCCATTTGATTGCCTCCTTTTTACTGTGTGTTTATTGTTGTTGCTTTATAATATTTTTTTGTGATCCGTTGTCTCCAATTCTGCTGGTATGTGGACACTTGGAGATTTGCTAGTTTTCTAGTCTGCTGAGTTTCGTCTGTCACACTGTCGCTTAGACGACACCGTCGCGGCCGCCACTTGCTTGTTGCATGTTTTTCGTGCTGCAACTTTTAAATAAAAGTGCATACATGCATATACTATACTGATATATATACCATATATGCTTATATATGTTTATATTGTGCTGTTAAGTTAACTTATCATTTTTATTATAATTTTTAGGTGTGCCTGCGATTATTATACGGCGACACACATAAATGCAATTACATGCATGCAAACACACATACACCCATACCCAGGTGGTTGGGGTGTTTACGTATGAATGCACTCACTTCGTCAAACGTTGTCCATTTGATGTGTGCCAATTTATAGTTTTTGTCAGCAAATCGTAAAATGACTCCATGTCCGAATCACTTTTAGACTCTAAAAGTCCACAATAACAATATATTTACCCACTATTTATGTATGTATGTTTGTTACTGTAAGTGGTGAAATGAAAATAAGGAAGATATATTAGATTACTTAGGTACTTAGTGACCGCGCTTCATATTCATGCTTGAACTGTTTTCAACCATTTAATTGTAGGATTTTCACATTTCCAACATCGGATAACTTCGGCTGATTTCGTATAAATAGACCATCTTTTGCAAAGACTAGAAAATGCTTTGAGGTTCCATGGTGTTTTAAAAAAAACTTTTACTTCTATTTCTTCTTTTTTCCGTCGATTTCATAAACACATGTCATCTCTTTATTATTAAAGCCGCATGTCTTTCACTCAGCTATCACCAGCTTCAAAGAGAACAAACAGTTTAAAGAAGTGATAGAGGCTAGATATTAATATTCTGTCAATATTAATCAAGAATTATGTCTGTATATTAGTCAAAAATTCGTATCGTTAATGAAATGAGAGTTTTAAGGGACTAAGCGTTAAATTACTCCTGCGATCAAAAAGTAAGTTACAGTGATTATTGTGGTGTGGTGCTTTATGAATTCCTTCCGCCGTGCCAAACTGTCAACGAAGAATATTATCTCAGCGTTATCCGTCGTTTGCATGGAGCTATTCATCTGAAAACGCTGGAAATATGGACGAACAACTATTGGTTCCTTCATCACCAGAATGCACCATGTCATTCTGTCATTCGTTCTTCGCGACTTTTTTGCCAAAAACTGGACTCATATCGTTCCGCAACCACCATAACCGCCTAATTTGGCTCCTTGCTACTTCTGGCTATTCATCGAACTCAAAAGACCGGGACGCTGTTTTGCCCCAAATGAGAAGATAAATACCAAAAAGAAGACCATTGTTGGAAAAAGATTATTCCGACTGTTTTTAGAACTATATACAGTATACTAATCAAATATCAAAAAAGTTCTCAGAAAAAACTTTCCATAAATAGTGCCCTCGAGTATTTCATCTTACGTCCAAAAATTATAGAATTCGCACTTTGCCAAAAATATATAATAATAAGAAACCTTAGTGAAATTCAGAAAGAATCTTTTTTTATAACATTGTATTCTCTTTCCTTAAATTAATGAAATCACGGCGCTACTTTCCTTTGTTTAATATAAAGTTTCGTTAAAACCTCTAGGTGTTCCTCCGCCTCCGCTAAGTTGCAAGAATATGAAATGTTCTGGTCTAAACCTTGGTCTTCTGGTTGACATTTTTTACGTCAAATATTAAATTTATCCTCTCCGGTAAAGTTTATGTTAAGTATATTTCATTGAGGTGATTTAAAAATAATTGTCACTGACGGGAAGTAATATGTAGTTCTTAAGCTAATTGAGTCTATGACCTAAATATAACTTAATAAATACCAACCTGTAAACTATAAAATTTGTAAAAATGGACATGGGCCTATCTCTAATAGGTTTAATGTACTTATAGTTTAGAAGAAAAGCTACAATAACCAAATTCGCTTAGGACAAATTTTAAAATATCCCTTATCGACGGTGTGTAAATTAATGAAATCGGATTATAACCTCTGCCCATATAACGGTTTTGTTAAAAACTACTTAAAGTGCGATAAATCAATAACCAAATGCACCAGGAACATTAAATTTTACAAGCAGGATGAGATATGACGGCTTTAAAGGAGCCGGGGTCAAAATTGAACAATGGGCGTGGCGTCTCCGCATCTACTCCACCAATTTCAACCAAATTCGGTATATAATATAGTACTGACGATTTTATTACACATTGTGAAAATGGGCGGAATCAGACTACAACCACGCCACTACCCATATAGCACAATTTTAAATTCCATCTGATTCTTTCACTTTCCAGTACACAAATCAAGCACCAGTATACAAGTATATATATGCGGATAAAATTTTGCACAAATAGTGCCTTTGAGGTATCCTTACACGTTGCTTACACGAGTATAAAATGTTCGGTTGCACCCGAACTAAGTTCTTCCTTACTTTTTTAAGTTGATTTTATAAATATAAATATACCTATATAAACCCAATATTTACTTTTAATTTGTATGTTCTAATTTTAGCACCTTCTTATCATCGATTTTATAAAATGTAAAGGAATACAATTCTCCGAGGCACAAAAGAGAGACTCAGGAGATTAGCATTCAGTTCACATGGAACAGCGAAGCTGCGAATTCAGCCGGAAAAAATTATTCGAAAGCGTGTATATTTACAATATAATGTACTCAATAGAAAATAAAAAATAATTTTTGTGAAATATTGTTCTAAATTCTGAGTGCGATTTGAAAAAAGAACTTTGATGTTGATTCACAAATATATAATATTAAAAAAAAAATACTTTATGTATGACCAAACCGCTAAGAAAAAATGTGCAAGAAACCACTTGTTTTAAAGTCACAAACTTTTCGTTGGAACAACATTTTTTATATCACAGTGTGTCCAATAACGCGACCGCCAAATTCATAATATTTATCCAGAATAAAAAAAATACGAATACCTCGGAGAAGCAACCCATTTAAACAACATTTAATTATTTATAAATAAGTTTTTGGAAAATATTATTTAACTTGTTACTCATATCTACACGATTTTTTAGAAATTGTTAATAAGATGTAAGGAATGTTGCTACAAATAAATACTGTTGAATAGAAAGTGTGAAAAGTATAAGGAATGTTTCACAACACCCTTGCAACTGGATTTGGTCATAATTTGTATACTCTTGCAAAATTTTGCTTCAGAGTATAAAAGTTTTGTTCACCTAACGGTGGTTTGTATTACCCAAAAGCTAATCGAGTTACATATAGGGTTGTGTATACATATATAAATGATAATAATGAAGATATGAGTTGAAATCCGGGTGACTGTCTGTCCGTCCGTCTGTACAATCTGTTACTTGAGTAAAAATTAAACTATCTGTTTCATGTTTCTCGACACCGTGAGACGGTTGGTATTGTAGATGGTTGTAATCGCACTATTGCCACGCCCACTAAACGCCGTTAGTCGAAAACCAATATTTTCGCACCCTCTCGACGGCGCGAAAATTGGTAAAATCGTGTGATAACACCGTCCACCGTCAGCCCACTTTTAGTTGAAAACCCATATCTCAAGATTAACTTGATTCAACCTGATCCTGACATGCGTATATTACAGTGTAAAAATGAATGAATGATATCCATATAACAACAATTTAACTGCCATCTGATTTTTTGACTTTTCAGTTTACAAATCAAGCAATAAATAATATATAGAAATATAACTTTGCAAAAAGAGTGCCTTCCCGATATGCCATCTCAAGTGTTAAAATTGTTAAAATCTGGCCATAATTGTTCAAGTACCCATATACCGAAGATGTGGACCCAAGTGTCAAGGGTTGACTTTTTACCGAAATTATTGTTCAATGTATGAGATATATAATTGGAAATTGGAGAGTACCCTTTACTGATAATATTATGTCTGTATGTCAAAAATTTATTGCATCGGATCAATACTATTCCTAACCCCCATATACCTGCCTATACTTGTTCCTATTGTTTATATTTTATTAATATGGTATGTGAGTTATCTTATTAAATTGAGCGGGCGTGATTTTCTAATAACGGTGCATCTGTGAGCTTAAAATGGATTATATCGGGTGAAGACTTACCCTAGCCCCCATATAACTAATACCAGGATATTGAAACATCCTGTTGACCTTACGTGTTATATACTCGTATTGGTGATGGTATGTGAGGTACCTGAATGAAACACAGAGAATGTCTCTTTCTTTAATAATAATATGTAGTAATGCCAAAAATAGATAAAATCTACCCTAAAATCTATAGTACCCCTATCTTCCATGGCTTTATACCGTATATATTTATCCATGAGTAAGATATCTTATCAAAATTAACTGAAAATATAGTATTGGATATATTATACTACAGATTAACGCGGAAAATATGTGAAATTGGTCCACAAATTAACCAAACTCCGCTAAAAACATTTCTTAAACCTCCGTAATAATTTTGATTGTATAATTAATAAACAGGTGATTGCCATTTTCAGAAAAAAATTCATCTTAAGCATTCTTAACTTATTTTAGTTTATTGTACAATAATATAAATATTAACGGATATTCCTTTAAAATCTTCAACTGATAATATTTCTATATCTAAAAAATTTTTTTTTTAATAAAATTTATAACAGATAGCAACCTTCTAACATTTTTATAGGCTGTGTAATTCCGACTACGAATGATAAGGCTTTGTTTATCAAAAGTCACTGAGCAACAAATGGTTTCTGTACAAATAATCGAGAGAGGAGGAAAATTCTTACTAACTCACTTGCACAAACAAATTCTATGAGTAGAATACAGATACTCAACAAATTGTCGTACAAATATTACTAGATTTACAGTAAATATTGGTTGGAAATAACGGACATTTTTTTCTTTTTAAGTCAGATTTACACAACCTGTTTAATATTGCGCATAACTAAGATGGACAAACCACTCTTGTATCTGGACTACCGATTGGTTATTTTACTAACTGGAGTAGTATGCGCTTTCGAAGTAGATCAGCCGTTCGCCATATATATGCACGTCAGAAAAACTCTTGACGATTCCGTGCGAATCGCCAAATCATGTGAAAGAAAGATGTCTATTATAGATAGTGTTCTGACAATGTAAATACAACAAATAAATTGTTATGACGTTTCCCATTTAATATAATATCTTAACCGTAGCAGGGGCAAGCAACCGAAATTGAATTTTATTTCAGTTGCAAAAGTAGACAACTTGGAGAAACGAGTGAACTCTTGTGGTTTTAAACAGAATGAATTGGAGAATATGATACAAAGGTGACTGTTAATGCCGAGAACCAACAATACTTTGCAAATTTTTATTTGTATCTATTAACATATTTTCAACACAGCATGACCACGAGATCCAAGGAAACCATGGATGAATTAAAACAAAGTGTGTCGAAAATGATGTCAACAGTGGCGGATTTAGCATCCAAAAATGAACGCGGGTGACTTTTATCAAAGACGATGTGCTAAAATACTCGAAAGTTATAATAACTTAATGTTTTATGTATTTGTGACTCTGAAAGTAAAGTTGAAGAATATGTAATATAATGAATAAAAATAATTTATTTTCCCAACAATACACGAAGTATTGTGTCGTTGCAATATTTATACTCATATGACGTACGAACTACATATAATAGTTTGGTTTTTAATAACATCCCGCCCCGGCTCTAGCCAGCTCATCGGCGCTCCCGTTTCTAAGTATTATAAATACATTTATATATGGAATATATAAGCTCTTTACCAAATAATAATGGTAATCTAAATTATTAGAAAAGAGCGTTGTTTTTTAAATCTTTCAACATCCAAACACCTTAAACATCGCGACTGGATCCTATGTTGTTGACACCAACTGAGACGGAGTTTAACCACATCGCTTGTTTGTTTTTAAGAAGATATACACTAGATATGTCACCCTGTATATGGTATATTTATATATACACGCACCCTGTGGCTAATTATTTTCACATATCAAAGGACTCTGATATTTACTAATTGATTGAGTTGGTTAAAAATGTTTTGGAAGCCTGATTTTCGTTGAATATACAAATCTAACTAAAAATCATTCCAGGTCGAAACTGTGCGCTAAAATAGTAACGCTTTACGTTTAAAATAGTCCCTAACTTGATGCTCAACGGGAGAGTGAAATGATAGTTAGACCAAAAAGTCATATATTTTTCAACTAAAACGAAACAGTCAACGGAAATTGATAACTTTGCCCAAAAAATATTCTAAAATTCCCTGTAAGTCCAATAACAAAAGGAGGTTTGTCTGGGTTTAGTCCCTAACTTTATTTTTGGGAAGAATTGAAAAGCTAAATGTACACCTTCCGCGAATAATCGACGAGCTCTATTTGTGCCGAAATCATCGCTAAGCTGCACTAGTTGAAGTAATGTAAAACTTAGCGAAAAGAGTTATTTTAGCTTTGTCCAAAGAATATTCAAAATAAATTGCAAAGAAGAATATCTTATATAAAATTCGCTTATATTTTTTTAAAGATGGTACACCCTGTATCTACGCATGATTATTTCAATTCATGTTGCGGTTTCTCACACATTGGCCAAAGCCCCCTCTTGCATAATAAGCACACAGCTGAGATAAATAAATATTCACGAGTCTATTCATTTTGCAGCCGTCAAAGTCAAATCCAAATCGAAATAGCCAATTAAAAGCAGGAAACTAATCAAATTATAGCAGCGTTAAAATACATGTTAATCCTTTAATTATAGACCAGATCGAGTATACTTGTATAAGAAATTACGTGCAGAGGCAGTTACAATTAATGGCCAATTCACATTGAACTTTTGCTTCGCTTTGTGTCAGACATTTGTTTTGACAGAAAAGTTCACCATTTTTATTAGAGAGAAACACTGAAAGCAAAGCGTTCATCGTGGCATACCCTTTGTTTTCTGCACATCATTATTTCAGTATGAACTGTCACGTAAAGCGAGGAAAGTTGTATGTGAATGAGCCTTAATCGCTTCGAATGATTAAAGAAGTTTAACACACATACCCTCCCCGACGTGCTGAATAGAACAGCGTCACACCACAAACCCAACGGTCCACAAATTACGGGTTTCAGCGCATAAATCACAGATAAAGCAACGAGGAAAGAAGCAGTTGAAGTGAACTGTTTGACTCAGCGCCGAAATGTGAAGTGTTATTAAAATAGATTAATTAATATAGCGTAACAAAAAATATTCATAAAATAGAAGCAGAGGGAGATTGAAAACTGCCGAAGTATTTGTATTGAAGATTAATCATAAAAAGAAGCGATTTAAACTGTGTATTCTACTTTTTTATACTAAGTGACTCAACAATTTTCGGATGACTCCACGAATTTGTGTTCTACTTGTAGTTTTTACGGGCTGTCCTTAAAGGTTGTCTTGAACTCCTCGTAAGGTTTAGTTAGGCTTGCACATAGCCACGCAGACAACAAGTCCATCGAGCTCGTACACAATTACGAGTAATAATAGTGAGAAGATAGTAGCGTACACATCACTAAAGAAACTGTTAACAGAAATTGTGTTTCATACCATCATGTTCGCCCAAATCGAAAACACTTTTGCTTCATCTTCTTAAGTTTAACAATATCCTTCTTCACTTAAAATCACTAAATCAGTTTCTCACCGAGGTTCTGTTTAAAAAAAAGAAATTTGCCAAATTCGATAGAAGTAGAATTAAAATCATAGATGGTAGACTTTAGTTCCCTAAACAACTCAAGCGGCTAATCGTACTTAGAGCTACAGTAAAGGCGATCTCGTCACCTGGTGGTATTAGAATCTTATGTTATCATCTTGATCTATGTACATCAGACGGATATGAAAATTGGCTGTGATCAAGTACTGAAAAATTCCTGTCTAGGCATCCGATGTACAAGACATATAAAACAATATTAAGGAACGGCAGAAGAATAGTATATATTATAGCACAGGTCATGGACTAACTTAGCTTAGTTACTGTACTTTGCATTATATCTTAAATTAATTAATTAATTATTAACATCCGCTTCACTAACATAAGTCATTTGTCATACTATATTAATATAGAGAAATATAAAAAATCTAAATAATAGGTTGTCTGGGAGATACATGTTATAGTTGTCCGATCTAGCCGGTTCCGCCAAATTATTAATACAATATCAAAGTGCAGCTGTGTATTAAATTTAACTTGAATACCTCAAAAACTGACGAACGAATTTATATAATCCCTAAAAGCTAAACCTCGCCTTAAAATTCGAAATCGCCACATCAATTTTGGACCCATAGTTTCTTAAGCAAAGTTGTTCAGAATGATCCGTAGAACTTTTACCGCGCGATATTATGGAAAATCAAACAACGCGTTCTAACATACAACATAACATAGTGATGTGTTAAAATGATGTTGAACTTGACTTTATACCGTTCTTGAACGTTTTATTTACCCCAACACTTTTATGCCAAATATTATAATCTTCACAAAATAAAAGGAATCAGAATGTTTAAAAAATGTTATCGCATACTAAAAACCCTCGATTTTCGTTCAGACAATGAGACGTTCCTACCACAGTCGTCACAGTGTGCGCGCCGAAATCTTGTCAGCTTCCCCTAACATAATGAGCCGAAGATCAAATGCCATCATTTATTACGCCTTTACGAGCATTAATGAGCGCTAAATACAAACCAGTAAACACTAAATATTTAATCTAAATATATTTCTGAACATTTGCCGATCGGTACAAAACTTGAGTAATCTGTCAACTGGCAGAGTTCGTCAAAGCGATAAGCGCCTCTACAGCCCGAATAAATATTTCTTTAGCAAGAAATGGAATTACTTGTACATATATAACATACATACCTATGTATTATAGCAGTGGCGTTAACAATGCGAAATGTGGGCGAAATAAACTTTTTTACTCCTTTATCAGAGAACTAACTACTATTTTTAAACAAAGGCGCTACATGCTTCTTGCTGTTGAAACAGTTTACGAGGTTTGTTCAAAGATGGTCAAAAGGTGAATTTTGATATTTCGCGGGCTGTATACATTTGATTATTGATATATTTTTATAATAGGACAAAATCGAAGAAAGAGCTGATGTCCATATCGAAAAGCACATTTCAGAAATGCTTCGAGGATTGGAAAAAGCGTTGGCACAAGTGTATTATATCCGAGGGAGATTACTTTGCAGGGGTCAAAATAGATAGTGATGAATAAAAAAGTACTTTTCAAAAAAATTCAAAATTCACCTTTTCCTTTGAACAAACCTCGTATATATGTGAAGACGAAAATGTAAGTAAATAAGAAAACAGTTATTCTGACGTTTGGGAAGCCATGATTATATGCATTTAGAGACCCTTATACCTTTTACTAAATAGTTATTTAAAGCAATAGTTAGATCTTAAATATGGTTTATTTTACAGATTGTTTATTTTGCTACTCTTGGCAGTAGTCGGATGATACTTTCTGTGACACCGAGTCTGACTTCTGCGCGTGGACGGGATGTAGGCAGTAATGTATTTTGCATATCCTGAATTAGAAAAAAATTATCTATCACTTTATATTTTGCATCAACACGATTTGAACACATAAATCCCGACTTATCTTAGGTAAACTCGGTACAAGATGGCATATAAAACCCAGTTTATAAAATATGTGAAGGATTGACAATAACTTACCTCCCATAAAACGGGTCTTTCAGAACCACAAACTATTTGCTATGGATAGGGAAAACGACAAGCTATCAGTAGTATATACTTGTATAACGCAAAATTTTCTAGAAATATTTTTAATATTTCTGTAGCTATGAAAAAAGCTAAAAGTACTCAGAAACTTAAAGCAGCTTGGTCCGACTTTCGCTACATTCTCCAGTCGATATCTCCTGTTGGCTAAATATTTTGCCACAGATACTTAAGTACATACAAATGTAAAAACTAATTATGGGAAGCGCTTGTAAATACGTTTCTAATTGACAATGAAATAACTGCAATTTTTATCACCTAAACTTCCGGTTAAAAAATTATGTAGGGTATCGAAAAACCGAACTTAAATTTGAATGAAAAGAAAAAAAGAAAGTTAATTGAATTAAAAGCTTCTCGCATTAATCACTCTCAAAGCAAAACACGAGGTGCAAAGTTTTCAATTTGACGGACAGATAAACTCCAGCGTCACTTTAAAAGAATACAGAGAATTCAACAACTCTCGCGCCGTATTCATGTTGGTTATTGAAAATTTCTTGAGACATTAATTCAAATGTGATAAAGTTAATTCATAATGAACTTGAGGTATAAAAAGGAAACATGGATGATTCATCACAACACTTTCGAATTGTATCTGTGTGTGTACTTATATATTATATATCAATGTCCACATATATTTAAAAAAATTATTATAAAAATACGACGCTAAACGACTATCAGTAATCGACTCCCACGATAGAATTTAATATGTAATACATCACCGACGTTTGTTTATGAACCTGAAAGTCTGACCCCGGTACAAATATATACTAGCCATACATATTATATACTTGTATATACATATAGCATTCACACAACAGAACTCTCACTTTTCGAGTGCCGACGGATTATGATCGAATGGTACCAAGA